ATTCTAATTATGACAACAAAATGGAAGTACTTAGGCTTGATTACAAGCTTGAAGGAATCCTTTGTGAAATTGACATCTTGTCAAAGAGTAAACTAGTAAAATGGTATGAATTCACTTGATTGTCATTGTTCACCATTTTGAAGGACAGAGACTAAAGATAATCAGTTATTCTTTGCGGTGAAAGGCCAGTGACTCAGTAAAGAAAGTGCAACTCAGGCAGCAAAGATCTGGAATATGTTCTCATTGAGTGGTTTTGCCACAGATGATCAGCTCCGGTACTGATTGATGGGCCATTAATGAAGGCAAAAAGCCAAACACTTTGTGGGACATGTAGGAATTCAAAACAGTCAGTGTTGCAAAAGGTGACTGAACCATTTGTGTGCAGTGTTGGGTGAATCAGCTGCATTTAGAATCAGTCCATAACATTCATTATGGCCATATGTTAAGGCATCTATGTCTACAAGCAGGTAGTAGTGAGTACAGGAGGTCAGGGATCAAGAATATTGAATTATTCATTGTCATCTTCATATCTCTGAGGTAACTACTTCAGAAAATTATCAGTGGAACTCCCTTTTAGTATTCCTTGATATACGATTTCCCTTGATTAATATTCAGTTTCAAAGGTTCCAAATGAATAATGTCGATGTTAAATGACCTCCATTTATGATTTTTCCCAGTGTAGTATTCAAATCCACTGATCTTAGAATAAACCTTAAGTAGGAACTACACTATAAACATGGCCATGCATTAATTTTTTAAACCTTGGTGCTATATTATAGTATATGTAATTGGAAGTTAGGAGACAGATTTAAAGATTATGTATTTCAACCATTTTCTTATTTTTGAATACCCATTAGAGTGAGCAGTTCTGCAAATGTTATAAAGTCTAATTTTATTTTGGTTACAGTGTAATTACTGTTGTATATAATAAATACATCGCCTGTGTGTGCCATATACAGCAATAACTCGCATAGTCGCGGCTTCGAACAGCCCGGATTCACTATAGCCTGGTTTGAAAATTTCAAAACAAACTAAATTTTAATTGAGCAAAATAAAAATAAATTCTAAAAAATTAGTACACAAAATTATTTTTAATACATAAATGATCGGTTTTTTCCCTTTATACAGTCAAGTCTCTTTTTGTGCGGTTTATTTTTATGTGTTTTTAAAGTTATGCAATATGCTACATACAGTCAACTCTCGATTATCCGGGGCGGATTAACCAGGGCTACTGGGGCTTTTTTGGGGCTTATATGTTGTTTAATATTCATTCACTTTTGTTTCACATTGTGAGTTGTAAAACGATTTTCGCACTAGTGTGAACCGAGCTCTGCATTCTTTGGTCCCATTATGCTAACACAATGTTCTAGGGTAGGGGTGAAAGAATACAAGGATTTGTGGAAAGTTTCGAGGACAGATACATTGCCCCAGTTAGTCTCTTTGTATCAATCTTCAAGTGCGTTAGCAAAATGTCCGGGTGTAAAAGGAAGCGTGTTGTGTTAAGTATTCAACAGAAAAAGGAAAATGCCGCGAAAAAGTAAACAACAGTATTAAAATTTTTTAAGTGTTAAGTGTGAATATTCATAAAAAGTGTTGGATGTTGTTGAAGACTGTGATTGAAATAACTAATTCATGCTTCAGTGTAATGTTAAAAAAGTATTAAATAGGCCATGAGATGACATAAAAATGAGGTTGAATAAATTTAAATACAGGTAGGCCTATAGTATTATGAAGGTACAGTATTACAGTACTACTTTTAATAAAATTTGTCTTAACCCGGTTTTCGATTAATCGTGATTTCCATCCCCACCATTATCCCGGATAATCGAGAGTTGACTGTATTTCAATTTTTTCTTGGGTTCCCTATTGTATGTGTATGTACCCATGCTTGGGTTGTTCATTCTTGAGCTCTGTCAGCTATTGCTGGAGGAGGTGGGGAGAGCACTACTTTAATGGAATTTTGGAAGGGCCACATCAGAAACGTTATCGAAAATACAGGCAAAGCATGGCATGAATTAACGGCAAGCAATATGAGGGCAGTAACAATAAGTAAAGCTATCCTTGTTCAGGCCATGAAGGCCCATAGGGTTGTGAGACATTGAGGGTCCCACATCATCTAGGCAGTCGGCTCAAAGATGGCAGTAAGGTTGTCAGCCTTACGCGCCGGCCACACTTTACTCCCCAGGAAAATTATTTAATTAATTCCTGGTACTCATTTCTGTTAGAGGCTGAGTAAACCCCAGGGCCAGGAAGGATTAGGTCAACTGAAAAAAATCCAGTGACCTCATCGGGACTTATGGAAACATATCATACCACAGTGTGCAAATGATTTCATTGGTTTTGAAATTCATTTTGCTGAAGTCACTAATAACATAGTGGAAATTGGACAACAACTTGTTTCAATGAGTTAGATTCCATCAATGTAATTGAGTGCATCAGATCGAACACTAATGAACTAGATAATGAAACACTTATTAACATAGATGAACAATGGGCTTTTGAAGAATGGGAGGACAATTTAGATAATGACGACTGTGTTGAAGTGCCTGCACGAGAATTAACAGCTGAACAACTATAAAAAATTATTGGAATGATTGAAACCTTGTCAGAGCATATTATGGAAGTTGATCCCAATATTGAACGTAGCCTTACAATTTTCTGAACGATAAACAATGCAATTCATTACAAAGAAATGTATGAAGAGAAAAGGCCAAAGAAGAAAAATGTGCAGACATCAGTATTGCAATTTTTAGAGAATAAAAAATGAATTGCGAAAAACGTGAATTTTTTAAAATTATTTCTAATAAAGGCATTTGAATTTATTAATCACGTTTCATTTATCGAAAAACAGATTTTTTTTTTTTTTGGAACCAATTATCATTTTGTGTATGTATTTAGTTCCTTGAGTAGTCCGGTTTCAAACAGTCCAGGATATTGGCGGAACCGATTACCCATACTATGTGAGGTATTGCTGTATTTATCTTTCCTTGTTGTTATTTATATGTATATTAGATCACTATGTATCTAATTGATGCCTTCAAATAATGGGAAATTCGTTTTCATTTGACACTTATCTGGTTAAAAATAATGTTTAAAGAATGTGTCCCTTTCATAAAATGAGGGATTTGGGAATATTATTTTCTTGTTTCTCCATGTGGATCTGCATTTTGCAGAGTGGTGAGATTGTTCCATTTTCTCATCATTTATTAGGCATAATAATTAGTGTACCCTTTCTAATTTACTACTAATACTGAAACAGCTTTACTAATATGTTTGAATTATTTTTTCCCATGTCCTGTTTTTCTTGAAATCCTTTCCCATTTAATTTGCTGCTTGTCCTTTATTGCCCCACCTGCTATGCTTGCCTTTATAATTTGTATGAAAATGCTGGTTTTGACATTTTTATTTTGTGTTATAATTTTTTCTGTTTCATACTAATTGGTAAACTAAAATGCTTCAATGTCTCATGCTTTGTACATTTAATGTTTATGTTCGTATTCATAAAGTCTTTGTGTAGCAGTTTGCTATCCTTGTCAGCCACTCCCTCCACTCCACCACCTTCTTTAGGGACAAGCCTGGAGTCTCTGGGTGGTTCAGGTTCTTTGCGTCTTCCTCTGTGGGATAAAGCTTCAGCTGAATTTTGTTTTGCACGTTCGCGTGATCTTCTCACTAAGAACCCCTTTTGCATGAATACAGTCTTGTCTAATGGAAAACTGCATGGTGATGAAGAGATTAAGGGAGTGCCAAAGCAAGAAGTACCTCATAATCCTGAAGAGAAGGAACAAGATGGCGATTATTATCAGGATTCCCATGTTATTTATTCTGATTTTGGCCAGTTAAATCAATTTCATGGTGTAGTAAATAGTGTACATTCTGTTCCTGTAAATAAAAATGATATCATTCAAAATCAAATTACAAAGTTAAAATTGAAAAAAATGAGAAGTCATGTGAAAGTTCTTGGGTCTCAAACAGCATATGGTGAATGTGAATTAAAATGTCCTAAATATAGAAGGTATAGAAAATCAGTAGAGAATCCTTCTGCAGTCAGTTTAATATGTAAACAGTTTAAAGATTCATGTGGCATTAGAAAGTTAGTGTCTAATTCCCAAAATACTATTTTAAATTACTCACCATCTGAAACTTTACCAAAATTGAATGGAAATTGTTTGAGGACTAATATTCATCATAATCCCAGAAGGAAATGTTTCTCATGTGCCAATGATATTTTAACTGAGGAATCCTCTCCTTCCTCCTGCTGCTCTGTTTCATCTGATGAAGACTCTGACTTACCCCATGCAGCATTTGTTCACCAGCAGCCCTTTTCTCATTCTGATAATGATTATGCCAAACTACCAATTCCCTTTACAGATGAAGCTGAATTGGTATTCTCACACCAGGACTCGATAGATAGCTCCAGTTCTCCTCCACCTATCACATCATTTTTAAATTCCCTTTCTCCTGGTTGTGTACCACAGAAAGACATCTCATCTCCCTTCACTGCATTCCAGCATGCTCTCTCTTTGCCATCTGAAGAAGTGACTATTGCCAGGAGTAATTCTTCCTGGCCAGATGAACTAAAGGCATCTGATGCTGCTGTCCTGTGTGAATCCCCTCAGCCTGAAGTAGAACTCTGCACATCGTTTAACCTCACTTTCTCATCAGCTTGTTCAAGTCCAGACTTGGCAGAATATCCTGAGCTTGATGGAGACTTACCAGGTTTGCCCCCAAGTCAGTAAGTGACATTAAGCCTTTACTTTTTGCAGGATTCCCCTTTTCTGTAATTGTATGATCTGTGCTTCTTAGTAAGTTGTGTAAAACCCCTGTTACTCACTTGTTAATTTTCCTTTACCCACTCTGTAAGAAGGACTACGAGGTAACTATCTGTTTCATGTAGTTCACCTGGTTTTCTGGTTTACACAGTAAACAACTTTTTTCTTTTATTTGTTCTGTTTTGTTTTCATTTCCATTTTCCATTTTGTTTCTTCCCGTTTTCTTCACAGTCTTCACTGAGTGCCGAAGCAAAGGAAGTGTACAGCAGCCTTGTGGAGCAACCACTCCCTTCCCCTTCCCTCACCCCTAGCTCTCCATCTCTTGATACAAATCCTCTGCGAATGCTCCGTTCAGGAGCATTCCCTGTTGTACGACCCAGGGTTCGAGGTAACAAACACAACAGTGGGAATCAACCACAGCAGCAGTCATCAACTCTGCAGCACCAGCATAGTGATTCACTGCCATCAACAACTGCTAGTTCCAGAAGTTTGCCAAGACTAAGAGTACCACCACCACCTTCAACAGCACCTCCCCCTATACCTATAGAAACTCCTGGTTCTTTTATAAGTGCACCTATGCCACTTTCAAGAAACTTTCCTACCAAAGTCTCTAATTCAGACTCGAAAGATTGTTCAGGTTTTGAAGAAATGGTTAAGATAAATGGTGATCATCCTTTGAGTGGCACAGATACTTCCAAAAGTCACCAAAATATTATCCATGAATCATCTGTGAGTTCAGAGGTTTCTGAAGATACCGTGGTTGTTTGTGCTGATAATGCTGATGAAGAAGAAGTTGTTGAGGGAAATCCAATTCCACTTCCTCCACGTGACAGATCACGTCCATTGCCACCGACAAAGCCACGACATCAGCGTAAACACCCTCTTATAATACCAGGAGGTGGAGTAACGCGGACACTAGCCAAAATGGTCGAGACAGAGATGGAATGTACAGCAACAGAAGAAGTAACACCACAGTACTTAGGACTGCAAACAGAATCTCAACTCATACCCGAAGCATCTGAAGAAGCTACCCCAGATCAAGCTAAATCACCATTCAGAACTCCAAGGTAATTGCATGGGCACTTTACCTTCCTTGAGTCAGCTACATTCTGTGAATTTAGTTGATCACATAAATACAAAATATTATCTAGGATGTAAAGTATTTTGTTAGAGTGACATCTTTAATTTCACTGTGGTAAAATATTCAAAATAGTTTGTTGACTCATCTGTATAGCCAGTAGTATTTCCATCAGCACTCAGTACACAATATTTTATTCCCCATATACTCGTGCTTGCGGTCTAAGGCATGTACTGTTTTCGCTTGCTTGGAAACCGGGATCGTGGGTTCAAATTCCACTCAGGGCATGGATGTTTAGTTTGTGTGTGTGCGTTTTTCTGTATTTGTGTACAGGTAGAGGCCTTGTGACGAGCTGATCGCCCGCCCAAGGAGTCCTACCGAATGTGTAAGATCTCGAAAAACCAAAGTGAACGGAGAAGTTCATGGAGGTAGGCCTAGGCCCACTGGGGCTGTAGTGCCAAGGAAAAAGAAAATACTCATACGTAACATGTTTTGCTTCAGTGAAAGTTGTTAAATTATACTTGAAGGTAGTCTAATGACTGTATATGAACCTTATTATTTATACAAGTGTATAATAAAAGCAGAACTAGTTAATGACCTATTCATAAATAAGAGTAACATGTTGTTTGATCAAATTTCAGAAGGTGTTTGAGTGCAATATAATATGACATCAGACCTGTCATACCAGTTTGTTTAACAGAATGAAAATTTTCAAGGTACTGGAAGAAATGGAAATGAACCTAGCAAGACACTTTGAAAGCAGAAAATACTCTAAGAGATGTCACCTTGTTCTGTGGCCATTAGTAGTTTTCATTTGATTTTTCATAATACTGTTATTATTAGTATTACAATTGAATACACTGTAGTGATAGTATCATACTCTGAGGCTTTCAGTCTGTCCTGTAGCATTAAGTGGTCCTTGATCTTAGTAAATATATTTCTTGTATCAGATGTCTCCAGTTATGGATCTAATGACCTCTCTGGCCTGTACCCATTTTTTGTGTTAGGAGAATATTTTACTTTTAGACTAAGCCATGGATTTGGCACTATAATCTAAAGCCTAAGTAAAGTTTTTTATTTATATCATTCAGCAAGATGAAGGTTTTCTATTGTGTGTATGTTTTATACAGTGATAAATAAGGGCACTTAATGTTGTGTAAAATGATATGATGCACCATGAAAACAGTGGAGTAAGAATGCCAGTAAAGATACTTTGCAGTTTTGAGAATATTTAATAAGAGAAAATGTTTATTAGCCTATCAGCACTTGATTAAATAAGCTAAAAATGTAAAAAGTAAATTAATGAAAATTTCATGTTCTGTTCGACTGGTGAGATATTATGATAAGAAAGCTGAATTTATAGATGAAGCTAACAAAAATATTTTGTTATATATATATATATATATATGTGTGTGTGTGTGCGTGCGTGCGTGTGTGTGTGTGTATTTAGAAATTTGATAAACATAACATCACTTCATGCATATTTTTGCTTTTCACTTATTGTGCAAATTATTTCTGTAACTTTATGTTCTCTTCAGTCTGGATGACAGCTTTGAGCAACGTATTGCATGCGAGTTGGCAGCACTAGATGATATCCCTGGAGAAGCAGGATGTGGTACAGGGAGTGAGATGGTGCGTCACAGTGACCATGTTTCTTGTGAAGATCTGCTTGAGTTTGCATGTGACACACCTAATGCTCGTCGAACTCAAGGCAAAGCTAGAGGAGTAGATTCTGATGAAGTCCGAATCATGGGGAAAGTGTTAGGACCTGAGGTGAGATCCACTTTTATATCTATATAAAGTGTGCTGGGATAATCATTCAGTATAGTGACTAGCAATGTGTTGGATGATCAGACTTCCATTCCTGGCAGGAATGAGATTTTTCTTTCTGCCGCTGCAGCCAGACAAACTCTGAGGTCCACCTAAGTCTCTCTAATGCATGATAGGGGCTCTTTCCCCATGTGTAAAGCATTCAAAATGTGAAGTTGATTGCCCACCTCAATATATTTCAAAGTTAAGTATTGTGTGGATCATTATTATCCTGTCCCTTTTGTGCCTTCATGGTTTGATACTTAGGCACGGGGAGATTTTTATTTGTTGCATTTTAAAATTGATTTCTGCATGTAAATACAGCAACATAGAACCACTTATGCATTCCATTTTAACACTATTGGCCTAGATCATTTTATATGTGAAGTACTCTGATGCTTGGACAGTTTTGATATGTAGTAAAAAATGTCTCAAAGCAAGACTTTCACTGATTGTTTTATACACAGTGTGTCCAGGATCCTTTAGGACACTCTCCCCCCCCCCCCCTGCAATGCCATCTGTTGCTGAGTTGTGCCATTAAGATTCTTGAAGTTTCAGCTGTGGCTGTCTATAATTTCAAAGCGCAAGCATCGCTGCAGCATGTGTTCTGACCTTGAATGTAACAGTACTGTTCTGACACTCGTCGGAAAATGGTGGTTGAACAGAGTGGCTCAGGACTCTGTCTTATAGTGAGTTTTGGTATTAGTGGTGTTGAACATTCAAGGTCTGCTATTAGTGGTTTTGTTCATATGTTACTTGAAGTGATATTAAAAAAATTGCAGGTTTCTATGGATAATGCTCATCATTAGCTAACAGAATTCAAAGAACTGTATTGATCCAAGTTCTAATTTTCTTATATAAGGAAGCCAAGTGAGTTCTATGTTACCTTGTAAAACGTATATTTGCTTCAGATTTTAGTTAATTATAAATATACGAAGAACATTATTCTAAAACTTACTTCATATTTTGTATATGTAATGCAAGAAAATTTAAAATGTGAATCCTTGTTATAGGTATCAACTGAATGCTGTGTTGCAGCACTTAACATTTCAAACTGGGATGTTCATCGAGCCATCAAATTGGCTCGCCTGCACAATCTCCTGCAAACTACTGCTGACAGTGTAGATGTCAATATTGACTTCTTAGCATGCAATGAAGCTCTGGAAGCTTGCAGCTGGAATGTAACTCGGGCAGCAAGCTGGGTGCTGGCCCAGGAGCAAGGAGACACCACCCAAGTTTGAGTGTAAAATTTGTATCTGATAACACTGTATATGAGGGTTGATGTAAAAGTTCCAGAAGTGGATTTGATGTTGGAAAGTGAAGTGTGTGATAATGGATATCAGTCAAGAAACTTAGTTGGCAACTCTTTCTGATTTGAGCCTTCTGTTGGGAAGTAAATATCAATATTTTCAAGCTGGATTCTTTTGAACAGGTATTGACATGTAATTTTGTCCCTGCAAATTAGTTCTGGAACTTATTGATCAGCCCTTATGTGTATATTCCATTCACTAATTGATACCTGTAACAGGGAACTTGTTTCCTACTGTGTGTGTACTGGGAAAACACAGACTAGCTAAGGTAATATAATTTATAAAAAATTGTTCGAAAGGTGATGACAGACGTCTGGCTATAAGTAGACACCGAACACTCCAGGCTTATGTTCAGGAGATACCCTGTTTGAATCTTATCAGGGCTACTGCATATCATAACTAAGGCTTTTTGTGCTTTTTCTCAGATTAATACCAGAAGAGTACCTTTGAAATCTGTACCCACTCATTCATCTTCCCATCTCATTTACACTGTGTAGCTTATATGGCTGAAACAGTGCCATTGAACAGTCTGAGTTTCAGTTAATCACATAGTACAGTACTTGTTGCAAATGTTGGCGAGCTTTAAGAGGTATTGATTGGTCAGATTTTAATTGATTGATGATTCTGGAGTTGCTTAACAATTCTTTCAGCTGTGTAAGTTAGGTGGCATTGAATTTTTTTGGTTATTGAAGGATTGTTGAATTTGAAACAACGTGAAAAAGCAGCTGTGACCTGTTTTAAAGTAATGTCATATGTTGCTGTATGTGACACGACAAATAACTTCACGCCTGTCTTGGATGTAGCGATTATTTATTTGACACACTCTTATCCACACCTACAAGTACTATTACTATCACCTGTCACGACCTCTTGACTTTTCTTCAGCACTATCACAATTCTCGGTGAGGCTTCTGCTGGTCTGCTTAGTGACTGCTAAAACAAAACTCTATTCTTCGAAGGCTGGAAATCAACTGCTACTGCTCAACTGAACTCCTTAGTCAAAGTCAAAGTCACATTGCAACTTGCAGTCAGTGAGTCAGTCAGTAATTCTTGGTGTCAAGCCCCATGTGGGGCTCATGACCAGATATTTATTGCTGTTTGACAGTTACAGTCTTGTTTTCATGGGGCGCCCTCTCTGACGAGAGAATGGGTCTGTATTTTGTATATACTGCTGGCCCTTGCCAGCGCAGTCTTTTTCGAGTCCAAGTCCCTTGGGATTCATGACCACATTTTACTGTCTCAGATTTGAGACTTCCCTTTTTCATTGACTCCCAGGGTCACGGTGGAGGTATTTGACCCCGCCTCCACACTGGTGATGAACTCCTTAGGCATTCCAGTTACTGTTATAAACCCTCAGTCGGACAGCAGAAAATGCACCTCGCTTCCCTGTTGCGTAATCGCCATGTTTATTGAGGCATTGCTGGGCAACACTGCCAAGAGATGTTTACTGCAACGCTGCATAGCAACCAGCGTGCTTCAGCTCAGCTCGGCATGGCACGGACAAATACCGCTTTCCTTCCTGTTGCATAACCTCATTCCATATCCTGTTTCCCAGTCATGGTTTGACATGTCACTACTATCACAGCATTTGCCTAGGGAGATGAAAGATAGCTACAAAATACTACAGTTATGGTTGCCATTTTCTGGGCTGAAATTGGACCTTAAAAAGTGGGGGTGCCAACCACTGGACTGCAGTGTGTAGTTGTTGGTGTTTTCACTGTGGTTAATGTATTTTTTTTCACAGCATACCTACTTCAGATTTTACAGAGGGCAAAGAACTGTTTTGACTTCAATTTTATGTAGTTTTCTTTGTAGCAAATGTGAAGGTAAAACCTTCAGATATTCATTCATCAGTAATCTGTCAGATGACAGGTCAGATATATCACAAATAGTTTCTCCCCTTTCATCAGTTGACCATAAAAAGCATTAGTTCTTAATTTAATTAAGCACATTTAATGTAGTTGATGTGGCAGCACTACATAACCTGGACATGCTTCACAAGAGAAAGTGATGACATTTCACCTAGGAGGCGAGTTTGAATGTGTGTCATCTTTAGATAGTGACACGGATTATTATATCAGCATTATAAATTTACTGTGTTCTTTTCTGAGTATGCAGAGGGAACTAAAACCTTGACATAGAGACCTCATTGAACACATGGGACTTCTCTTCCATAAGGTTGCCTAATCATGGTATGACATGCCTCAGAGGTGTTTTGGCAATGTTTATTTTGCCTTGTGGAAGGAACATAGAAGGCTGAGCAAGGCTAGGTCGGTAAAGTGAGTGGCTGCAAGCTGGATGGCTGGAGTGCAATTCCAGGCAAGGGAGGAATTTTATTTCCCTTTACCACTGCATCCATGCTGGCTTTGGGGCCCATCTAGTGCCCTATCTTTTGGGTAGCAGGGACTGTCTCTTGACCAACAAATTCTGGACCATGGGAGTGCTCGGGATGACCACCACTGAAGGAAAGGGCGGATGAGGTAGAATTAACACTGAAAAAAGACGTGTGAAGAAAGGCAGGACGTTGCCAGCAGAACACCGAGAGACACCTGAAAGAAGGGAAGAACTGTTAGGCTGTTTGGGGATGAACAACCTTTAGAAGAAAGCAATGTCACGTGTTTGGAATCCAGAAGGGTTACTTCCATGGAAGCACTAGAACAGACTGTTGCATAGGAAGTAACAATAGCAGTATTGTAATTCTAGCAGTGAGTCTCCACGGTTACAACAGAAGGTTCACTGCGTAGCAATGGCTGCGGATATATATAAGATAATGCATTTGCTGAGACAGTCTTGAGATAGCCGCCGCAGAATGCAGTTGAGTGATATTCGTTGTATTTGTGTGTGCAAGAATAAATGTGTTCACTAAATCTGAGGCCTACGTGAAGTTATCTGTCACGTGACATACCCAACACGTGACAATATTGTCACTTCAGACAGGGAGTAAGTACCAGTGAAGTGTATTAGTGCAGTATGTAATAAGATTTACTTTTAAACCAATACTGACACGTACAGTTTGGCTGTGGACTCCTGTAAAATATAAAACTGAAGTGAAATTCTTAAGCAGTTGTAAATAAGAAAACACCATTATGAGAATTTTATGAAAGAGGCTTCCTCCATTCTTTCAGGGCAGAGATAAGAGGTTTGGAGTTTCCCACAAGGTCCTTAGGCCCAGGCACATTACCCTTATCAGGGGATGGACTCTGCCCTTTTCAGGGCACCTGTCTGACCTTGCTGCTCTTTTCACAGCAGTTTCTTCCTTTTCCCTTTTTTGTTTCCTTTTCTTTTTCTGCCTCTTGCTCTTCTATCTGCCACCCCACTTTTATGACTTCTGTCCCACCTTCCTTAATGTTGCTGCAAAAGAACAACCTTTTAAGGGTTGCCTTTAGTTAGTCTTGCCTTTGCTCATATTCTGTCTGATGTCTTTCACAAACCTTTGTCTGGTTCTCTTTTCTGCTCCTGTTGGGTCTGAGTTCTTTTATTTGCCTTGCCTGACTCCGTTTTCAAAGTGTTATTCACTTTGCTTGTCGCCTGTGTTTTGCTGGCTCCTTGCTTGACTTACTCTTCAACCATAGAGATGGAGTCACTATATTCCTCCAGAACATCGGTGAACTTCTATTGTACTTCCTGGTATTACATCCCAGAAGATAATCCTCCTTCTGAGAGAACCTCAAATACAACTGTCTTGAATTGTCTTCATATGGAGCTCTGAATTTCAGATGATCTGAAATTATCATCAGTTCTTCCCACTTCTCCAGTCTTTCTGTGATTAAAGAATGTATAGTTCTAAATAATAATATAAAGGCATTATTGTTCCTGGTATGACAGTCATTATCCAGACAAATTAGTTTTTAAATTTAATCTTCAGTGACAGCCATGATTTTCATTTGTACTAAATGGCCAAGTGAGGTAGAGTAATAATTAGCAGGCAGGTATATGAGTTGAAACCCCTTAGAAATGGCTAGAATCATGGAAAAAAAAAAGAAGTACTTTTTTTTTCCACAAAACTGTTAGACAAGGAACATTTTATTCTGAAAGGATCAACAGTAATGTTTACAGCATTATTTATTTGTGAAATTGTGTATTTAAATACCATTTTTGTTAATTATATTTTGAAATGAAATTGTAGATATTCTGATATGTGCATGTTGTTCTGTTCCATTTAACAGTTTTCAACTTAGGATTATAATATTGTGGCATGTAGATCCCGTTGATAGGTAATGGCCCTGCCAACAGACACAAACGCAGCAATTCCACAATAGCAGGACACGACAATAACGAGAAGTGGTATTCGCTATGTGGTCTGTGCTATAACTCTGTGATGTAAAAATAGAAGAGCTGTTGGGAAAAGTGTTTTCTATGTGGTGCTTACAGAGGCTATATAAGGAGTCAATTGTGTATTGTGAGTTAGTCATGGAGACTTGAGGCTTTCATTGTGGTCCATTTGATTGTAGAGTCTTCTGAGTATTATGTGTTGAAATGGTAAAAATTACATTTCAGGAGACCTTGCTGCCTCCTCTTTCAAATTCAGTATATACTTCAATTTATACACACTCTGAAACACCCAGAATACTCTGTAGTGAAAATTGTCAGTGTTTGGAAAGCAGTACTCAGCAAGTATCAAGAATCAGGTATTAACTGGAGACTGTTCATTGAGGTCATAGAGTTCTGACACAAATGCATGCAGCAATCGGAAGAGTAGCACATACATTTTGCACTATTAGTGAGGTATAAAAGCTAATTACATGTTTGGTTGTCATCCTACCCTCTATTACTTATAGATGGTATTAATTATGTTTATTCTAAAACAAACACAGTGATAATCTCAGGTTTATTTAAATATGAAAATGTATGACACACTAAGATATACAAGCACAGTGGATGAAAAATTAGTTTCATATGACTTGGTACTGCAAGGTTTTGAATTTATTTATCCCCACTTGTTTATTTTGGTGTGTGCATAATGTACTGACTGCCATATTATGTTACTGTAGTTGGTCTGTGTCTTTTGTTTCCCATGTAATAAAAAATACATTAAAACAGAATGTCAGCCACAGTTATTGGTTGACCAAATCATTAGAAAATTATTGTTAATAACATAATATATTGGAAGAACATGCTTGTTTTAGCATGAAATTAGTTTATGAAACTTGTAAAATTGATGTTGGCTCTAAAGATATGAAATGATCATAACTTTTTATATGAAAAATTTAAATTTTTTTTTTTTTGACAGCTTTCATAAACATTTTTACTTCACTTCAATCAGTTTGTTGTATCTCTTTCAAACATACTTATACATTGTGTGAATTTAAATCTATTCTGTATTGAAATGTTAGAGAGTCATAGTAAAGAAGGCTTTATGTGAAATGATATAAATTACATTTCTATATCATATATTTATGATCAGTTCAGCAAAAAAGGTTTTTCTACCTATTTCGGAATTGTTAGGGTAAAAGCCCATTATCAACTTATAACAGTGAGCTTTTCATTTTAGAACAGTGTTCTTCACTACACTGTAAAAAATGAAGGGGTACGCGGTAGCATAGTTGGTTGAGGGGCTATGCTACAAGCCGGAAGGTCGAAGGTTCAGGTCCCAATGAGGTCATTGGGTTTTTTTCAATTGACCTAATCCTTCCAGCCGCACTATGGCCCTCGGGTCCACTCAGCCTCTAACAGAAATGAGTACCAGGAATTAATTAAATAATTTTCCTGGGTAGTAAAGTGCGGCTGGCGCATAAGGCTGACAACCTTACCACCATCTTTGAGCCGATTGTCTAGATAATGTGAGACCCTCAATGTCTCACAACCCTAGGGACCTTCATGGCCTGCTATAAGGATAGCTTTACTTTTTTACTTACTTTTTACTATAAAAAATGAAGATGTAACATAAAGAAACAAATAGACATTGCAACAATTTTAAATTCCTTCAGCCAGTTTCCGAGGGAGATGTAACTCTTATAACAAAGCACAAACTCACTTGCTTCTGGCATGTTAAAGAAACCAAGTATGAGATGTAAATGAGAGATTAAGGGTCTCATAGAATCAACTTTGGAGAATAGAATC